TCTCTGGTAGGTCCTAGAGAGACACATGCTTATGCTAAGTTATCAGTAAGGGTTATTACATGTGGCAGTGTATGACCATCTAAACGCATACGTACGAAATGCATAGCGAGAGCAAATTCATAGATGTCTAACTTTCCATCGCGATCAACATCTGCTAAATTCCATACTCTATGTAATACTCCAGATGGGAGTTTACCTGAAGGATGAAAGATCCACATATAGGAGAGGAGAGCACATACTACTCTTAAGCATCTCCTGTTTAGCTATAGCACCAGATAGCTTACCATCGAGTGGATCCGGACCAAGAGACTCAAACAATGTTGTATACCTAGGAATATCCAGCCATGAAAGCATAACTACTGCTGATACTGCTGTTGGTGATACTTACTCTGATATATCAGGAGGGCTCGATAACCAAGTTGCAACACCAAAGTCGTCAGCCCACGGAGATGCTGCCCCCTTACCAGGCTGCTGAGTAGAGTATGGTATGGGCAGAATGAAGGAGATTTGGATATACTAGAGGTTACATTAGCAATGCCTCCTTTAAATATGTCAGGCAGCTCCTTAGCATCACGTTCTTTAGGTATCATCTTGAGCAATGCGGGTATGTCATTGGATAACACATCATCAATAGGCTCTAGGCTTCGAGGCTTCTTGATCTTATCTAAGCCCCTGGCAGGTGATGGGATCGACTGTAGTGACATATTACGGAAATCGTAGTGTGCCAGTTCTTTACGCATGTAATCCACTGAAGGGAAATCCCCAATAGGGAGGTTATATCTGTATAATATTCAGCTGCATACATCTACTATCCTTGCATAGTACTACTTCTTGGAAACTTGCTCATAGACCACATCTAGATGCTCAATAAGCTCACGTTTCTTCGAGTTTTTCCCAAACATTGAAGGCATCTCATGTTTGATATATGTCATCAGACAGGCATGTGTCTTCGCTAATCTATATTGTTGGTATTTGAGTATGACCCAGAACACCGACTACTTACTACCTTGCTCGTTTAATAAGATCATTCAGTTTCCTGAGGGCAGCCTCTTCAGGTAACTTCGCTATGTCTGCATATAGATCGGATTCTTCATTCTCAAAAAGACTCCGTTGCTCATCGTTGTTGAGTTTCTCATCCCAAAATGATCCGATGAAAACTCTCGATGTCTAAGGAGGTAAACACTACAAGAGCAGTAGAATAAGCATGATCATCATCACCTCAGGTGTATTTATAACCTTACCAAGGGACCACATAAGAGCACCATACACCCGCATAAGCTGCTGAGTAGTGACCTAATGACCCTACATTACCAACAGCAGCACCTCCAAC